TATTTTGACCTTGTGACACTGGTAGTCCAGTCTAAATGCCTGTCAGAATCCCTCAGTGAGGTGCTTGTGTGCTCCAGGGCACTTCAACCATGGAATCAGGCCATATGTCCCTTGGGCCGGCAGGCCAAGCGCTCTAATACCGTTCGTGGTCCAGCCGGGGGCGGATTACTACGGGGTATTTAGCCCAAAGCCCAGTGACGTGCCTAAGGCCTGCCTATGTCCAGCCTCATCTGCTGGCCGGGAGCCGTCACTCACTCAATGTCCTGAGGCACAGAGATCCACTGGACTAGAGATTATAAAAAGAGAGAGAGAGAGAGATTCTGTCCATGCTGGGATAGTGCATTAATCCTTCCTCTAGCTCAGCCCTGTGTTCATCTCTAACAGTCTGGTTAGAATTGCTCTATTGGAAACACATTCTTTTTATAGAGAGATCTATTCTGAGATTCAAGCACTGGACATGTCTGTGGTTTTCTTTATCTTTTGAGAAAACCATGACGTGCACTTCAGAAAATGGAAGACAAACTGACTGTCTGATCTTACGGTCCAAAAATAGTTTCTCCAGCTTTTGAATATAACTCAGTGTTTGTGGTTACAAACTGCATTGAGAGAGAAAAATAGAAAAGCCAAATGTTCACATTCATTTGATTATTTTAACCGTAATGATTTGACATTTCAAATGACATTGACATTTACAGTCATTGATTCCAGTGCATTTTCTTTTTCTTTTTCTTTTTTGTCTCATTTGCTCATTGTGAAAGTAAAAGGACTGAGGAATTTAAAGAAAGACCAGGACTGGGGTATTAAGGAGGCAACAGGACTAAGCAAGACAGATAAACAGAGAAGGAATTATCTAAATAGCATTTAAGAATAAGAGGAAAACAAAGTTTGTCTTAGGTTTGACACGTTTCTGACGAGAAAACCTTTCAGAATGCATTTGGGTCTCCCCCTCCCTCTGTCCAGACATGTGCTCTCTGCCTGTCTGGTTTGGATAGTGGTAATTTAAATTCCTGCACAAGGCATCAGGTCGCCGGTGGCTCGAAAAGCAGAGCAGATAAAGGGCCTGTCTGGAGGGGGATTGCGTGGAGGGTTTGTTTGTGCTAGACCTGCAAAGCACGGTTGTGTAACACTTTCTCATATGGAACAGAAGGTGGTCTCGCCCTGGTTCCCCAGCCAAAGCATCTAGCTAAAATCTGTAAATCTCTCATAGAGAAGCAGAGACAGGCAGGGTAACATGTTGTGCAACTCCTGTTACAGCGAGACGGGCAACAGCACGGGAGATGACACAATGATTAAACACAGAACAGAATTTTGTGTGGGCTTTGAAAAGGCCATTTCTAAGAACAGTCATCTACTCTTTAACCTTTTGCAACCTTCAATGCAGCCCACAGCAGTCTGCACATGTAGGCCTACTGTTACATAAGAGTGGAGACAAATTATAATAGGAACAGAAAATTGCCAGATTTAGGTGCTTGGTTTGGGGTTTGACCTCCTAATGTGGACTGATGTGGTATCATTCATCATATGTTCCCAGCCATGACTGAAAATTATCACCGGTAAAAATCTGTTAAGGATCTAAAAGTACGGCATTGCTATAGAAATAAAGGTGAGCAGTTGGTGACTGCTAATGTTGTAGTCTATGTAAAGAAGGGGTGAGGAGCTCTTGTCCTGAAGAGCTGGGATCAGCACACTTTTTGGATTTTTCTGCTCAGAAACAGCTGCTTAAGCACTTCAGTTAATTGCCAGGTTTAACTGGGGCAGGGAAATTACCAAACTGTGCTGGGCTCTGGCCCTCTGTTTCTCACCCTGCTGTAAAGAGTGGTATAATAACATAAGACCATTAAAAGATTAGAGTAGTGGTGGGTGATGTATCAGTGCATCTGGTATACTGAGTTTATCTTTAAGTGTTTTGTACCACAAATAAGCGCAGATAACATAAAAACAGTGCCAAAAAAGGTTGTTCTATTCAGCTAAATTGCTGAGTCAGGGATGTTTTAGTCACGTTTCAGTAAAAACGAAAAACACAGCAGTCCCTCATCTCCCAGTGTGTAGTCCATTACAGTCTGAGGTAAAGCTAGTCCAGTTTGTTATCGAGGGAGCGAACTTTAGAAGATGCCTCCATCGGTCAGCAGCATCAGATGATGTAAAACATTTAGTACCATTTTTGCCAGACCCAGAGAAACCACCGCAGGAACTACACCATAGGTTTATCTATATGTTTTTCTGTCCTGTTTTTTTTGTTTTGTGTAATAAGAATAATTTACTTTAGTTTTTAAATGTGGTTCTTATTAAAAGTGAAGGGACTGAGATTTTCACCTGAATGAAAGGTCCGTTAAAAATTAAAGCTACTGTTAACACAATACACAATACTGTCACCACAATAAGCATCTGAAATGGTTTTATTTACAACATATGCATCGCTGTTGTCGGAAGAAAAGCTCGTATCTCCATTTTTGATGTTTTTCGGTTTTTAACATAATATGAAAATACCTGTTACCCTTTATATTGTATGTAAATTTCATGATGAGTGGAGTAAAAGAAATGACCTAAACTGACTTGGAAAAGGGTCAGGTTGCACTGACTTACATTAAAAATAAAGTATGTTTTTTCCTTCTCCTGTCAAGTTACCATTTTGGAGATACAAGGTTTTCTTCCGACAACAGCAACATGCATGTATGATAAACTACTACAATGATTTTTATTCACTGTTTTACAAACTGCACCACACTAAATCCAATTAAACTAGTTTGAACATTTCAGACATCCGTAGTTCCAACCTGAAGCCCATCTGCTCATTTGCTGTCGCTGTGACTCTTTGACTGTAGCTGTCTTTCATATACAACTTTTAAATGCCAAGTTCTGTCGATGGCTCTCTTATGGTAAAACCAAAGTTATTTCCAAATACTGTGATTCTGTGAATTTGTTTATCTCCAAACTACATTGAGTCTGAAGAGCGATTTACAGGTAAAACACTACAGATACCAGCAGTAGCAGTAACTGGGCAGACTACGCTGGACAGTGCTAGCAAACTCCAGGTCTCCTTGAAACAAGACGTAATGTATAGTGAGGCACTAATAAATATGTAGAACCTTAAGAAAGGAATCCTTTATTAGTCCCACAGTGGGGAGGTTCTCAGTGCTACAGCAGCAAAGGGAGAGCACGGCACTCAAGAAGTAACAAGAAGAGAATGAATGAATGAATTAATTAATTAATTCACAACAATTAATTAGAAGCAAGTAATTAATTAAAAAAATAAGATACAAATATAAACTCTATCCTTCACAAAAATGAACAATATGAAGAATCATAAATAAATAAAAGCAAAAATATTTATTTAATATCTGTTGGTTGTCAGTTGTGCCTCAATATGTTGAGCTGATGGCTTTTGCTAAACTCTCTGAGGTTAAACATGTCAGTGTAATCCTGCATTGCTCATTTTATTGCACTCCCTTTGCTCTCTAACAGACCCATTTCAACCTCTTGAAGCACTTCATTGGCTAATGTTGAATCGTGTGTTGGGGGCAGTAAGTACGTTTAAATGTGCAGTGCATAGGGAGTCCAGGAACAGGTCTGGGAAACACTGACTTAATGCAATAATAATTACGTTGGCAGACACAAAGCCATACGATGAAAGGAAGAGTCACAAATATGTCTGTGCTGGCCAGCTTGCATATGCACCCAGTGTCTGTTACAGCCATGATTGACGAGCTGGTGTGGAGCTGGTCAGTGGCAGCTTCATTAGTCATAATGAGAGATGCCCACAGGGAAGAGGAAACCACTTCTCTAGCCATTACCCTTCATTCATAACTGCAGCAGAGTCCTGGTCCCAGAGAGACAGCAATTAAAGACCATCATGTAAAATAGATGAGTGAACAAGAGTTATAAAAGCACAGAAGATGTATCCTCCAGTTCTGTCTAAAGTAAGGGAGAAATCCAATGCACATAACAAAAACATGGGAGGCTTTTATATGTCTATTACCTATTACAAATTTATCATTGTTATTTTAAGCACTGCAACTAAAAGGCACACAAAGGGTAAATAATACTCAACAAAAAAGGCCAGGCATGAACAGACTGAGATACAGCAAGATTTATGATATATATGGTATATATGGTAGTCCACAATATACAGAGTGATTCAAGAAGATTCATCCGATTTCAAAGCGCCATATTTTTTACAACCGAGAGGCGCCTAGGAACCAATCACAATCCAATTGAAAGAGGGAGTCATAGAGTTTCTGACTGGCAGTATGTCAGTGAACCTCCAACAGCTCAGAGCATTCGTCGTTGGTACCAACAGTTCCAAGAAAAAGGTCACCAGCGTCACCAGATCTCACGCCCTGTGGCTTTTGTGGGGTGCGTTAAGGATTCTGTTTATGTGCCACTCCCAACAACACTGGATGATCTCTGAAATTGCACTGAAAGAGCCGTGAGTGCAGAGAGACCCAACATGCTCAATCGGGTTTCAGATGAATTTGACCATGACGATATTGTCCGTACAGCTGGAGGAGGTTCATATTGAGCACTTGTAAAATTCCATAATAAACTTTATGCTCATTTAAACCATTTACAGTTTACTGCATTGTTCTGTAATGATTTACAAGTTAAATAAATTATTTTGAAATTGGATGAATCTTTTTGAATCACACTGTATTTGTTTTACCCTCTGCTTTTCATAGTGAACCTGTTGCTTTTTTTACACTTTTGTGCTGTAGCACAAGCAAGATGAGCTGTTTTGCTGCCATTGTGACGCACATTTGTTTGGACTGCATCCATGACTTTAGAGTTCAGATTGGTCAGCTTGATTTTAATGCTTCTCCACAGCGCAGATAATTGAGCTGGCTCTGATTACGAACGCAGCGTTGCAATCAGTCAACTGATGTGAAAGATACTATCAATATGTGTGTGGTCATTTTCTAAACTTGACATCTTTATTTTGTCCATAAAAAATGTTTATTTTGATGTTTTATATTAACAATTCTCTCTGTCTGTCTCTCTGCCAGGACCCGCAACCTGTCTGGTTCTCCTCGGCCGCGCTCCCTGAAGAAAGTCCATTTCATTAAGAACATGAGACAGTATGACACCAGAGGCAGCAGGTGTGTGCAAGTGTTTGTTATTGCGTGTTTGTTATTGCTTAATCCTCTTTATTGTGGGTTTCGTGCCCGTGATAACAGCCTTAGGCTGAGTCGTAATAGAACCACTTATTAGAGGCTATATATTACTCTCTTTGTGTGGGCATGAAAGAGTATGGGTGTGTATAAACATGACTGATTTTCCCACACTGATTCAATGTAAACAACTAAGAGGCTGAGTGCCTTTTCTTCTTCTGTCTGTAGAGCTGGGCGATATGGCCAAAAATGTTATCACGATAAACAAAATTCGTATCGTTCGATATCGATACATATCGCGATAAATGTCCAATCATTATTTCTTACAAGTTTGAAGGCTGATTTTGCTCCTGGGTGGTTAATTGTGGTTTTAAACTATCACTTATGGTCCGATCATGACAAACACTCGGCAAACAGTGGAACATTTCACAAATCTGTCTTGGGAGAGTGGGAGAAAGTTTCTGAGCTGTTTTTATCAGCTTGAAAAGCACAGCTGCAATTTTTGTAATAGTCATAATTTAAGAAAGAAAACAGATTATTTTTAGCTGTCTGGTGACGAGCGCTCGGCTACCCCGGTACAAATGCTAAACAAGTGGCCAACAACAGCGCTAAACTCTTTAGTTTCTCAACAACGTCAACTCGGTTCGGTAGGTCACTGCGGTCACTCCTACCACATCCATGTCAGAGCAGATCACAGTATTCAGACACCAGCTAGACGGCTGGGTTTCTCTATGCTATCGCAGTAGTTTAAGGGGTGAACCGCAGTATATCTGACGCTCGCTGTGTAAAAGCATTATCTGCAGTGTGAATCTCTCACACCAGTCACAGAGTCCTCCTTTTAGGTATGTTTAAACTGAGAGCGGTGCTTTTGTGTCTTGTTTGATCTACAGTATCATCAGTTCACCGTGTTGTGACGAAGCACTGCTGCAATTAGCCAGCAGCTAAAAACAGTTAACCTGGAAAGACAGCGCTCTCTCTCTTCCCAATGCCTCACAGCTTCCTCAGTTTACTTTCACTTAAATCAGGGCTGTAATTTTCATGAATCCACGTCTTTCTTTCACTTTCGTTGCTTAGGAATGCACTAATACTAAAATATGACGGTTTGGCGCTGTAACACGGCGCTGCAGACGTGATTTAACGCTGCTAAAGCTTGTTACGATGTTAGTAAAGAGGTGAGTTCGCTGTAGGACAGTACAGATACGCCACTGACCTCGTCACTCACACTCGGTCACAGGAGAGCAGATCGCCGGTCGCTCCACTCAAACAGGGAATGTATAACTCCGTGTTTCAACCGTTGCTAAAGTATATTTGGCGACCCTTTTTTTACTCGTGGCCCCCTCCCTCTCTAATCAAGTCGAAAAATCCGAGTGTGCGCCCTCTCCTGGCGACAGCAGAGTAGTGTCGCTTTCCTTGCGCTAAAACGTGGAAGTGTGAGAAGGGTGTATTATATCGAACATTTATCGAACATGTTGTATCGCTCTATCGAGGAAAAGTTATATCGCGATACTTATCGTTTTATCGCCCAGCCCTATCTGTCTGTCTTTCTGTTCTGTGTATCTGCTGGATTGCCCTTGTTGTTGTTGCTATTGTTGCATAAGTGTAATAGATGAGAGGTCTGTGTGCAGACAGACAGAATTGATGATACCCACCTGTGCTTAAAATGAGCCTTATCCTGTCTGGTGCTTTTCTGCAGCAGGTTCTCACAGCGCAGACAGCTCTTTCTGTTACCCCTGTACTTGTATGTGTATGCATGGTGTATATTTATCCATGCAACAGCACTGGGACAATGCCTGTGGAGTCCTAGAACTTACTTGGTATAATGTAGTATAGCCCAGGGGTCGACAACATGCAGCTCTTTACTGTCCTGTTGCAGCTCCACAGCAGAATTAGATTTTTAGGTAAAAATATAAAGCTCTGCTGATCATTCTAACACAGTTTTAACAATAAATGGTTTTAAACGCCCAAGTTAATGTAGGCTATGTCTGCTAATTCATCAACCTTTAACCCTGAAGATTGCTGGTCACCATAGCAACGACAACAATCTCACCTAACCAGTAGCTAATGAAACAGCAAAGAGAAAGAATTAAGACGAACATCGATAATTCGGAGACCATTTGACTTATTTGCGTTCATAATCACTCCAGCTAGTTTCCTGATACATTTAATCTGCAATGAGAAACTGTCAAACACTAAAAAGTCGCAAAGCTGAAGTCGGTTTTTCATTCTAATGTTTCCGTTCCACCTTAAATGGCGCAGCAGTTACATTCTGGTGCCTCAGACATCATTTAAGGTGGAACGGGAAAATTTGAACAAGAAGCTGGCGAATGAGAAGTGACTTCAGCCTCATACAAAACGTTGAGACAGATGCGAGAGAAGCAGCTATAGCTGAGCTAGAGTTTAAAGCAGAGCAAAGTAAGTCTGCGTTTTCGTTTATGTTAAATCTGTTAGCCTACACTAGTACATTAGCACATACTGAGACATATTTACAGACAAGATGGTAAGATGGGCATAAAATGTTGTGGCTCCCAAAGTAGTTTGATTTTTGTTGAAGGGACAAAATGGCTCTTCTTAACATTTGGGTTGCCGACCCCTGGAATAGCCCCTTTACTTTTAATAAGAGCCATATTTAACAACTGAAGTAAATTCAGTAGTTTTACAGTGCGAAATAGTGAGAACAGCACTGAACAAGATATTGACTAAGCTGTGGTACAAATGCATAAGCACACAACAGTTTCTATGGGCCCAGCAAAAACAGTCCTAAATGTTGTTTAACATCCAAATTTCTGAAGTAATGTTTGTCTCATACGTGTGTTCTGTACAGTCTCTGACATCTGCAAGCATCAGATGGTGTTGGAGTTCAGTAAATATTACAGCTCTTCATGCTGTCAGTAGCAGATGATGAGCCATGGATGTTGTCTGGTGTAGTTGTCCAATGGTGACGCCCTGCAGGTGGTGTTAAAGGATACAGAAGTTGCTAGGAGTTGCTATGCTAAAGGCAAACTCTAGGCTAAAGGCTCGTTACCCCAGGTGACCATCTGTTCCTTCCATCTATCTCTCCGGTGTTTGCTCCCTCGGCAACAACCTGGACTAACATTAACTCAGATTGCAGCTGACTACACAGCTAGAGATGATGGATTGCTGAAGGATACCTGACTTGCCTGACCTTGCTAGGCAGGGAAAGGAGCAATGCATGTTTGCATGTTTTGCATTGTGTATTTATTTCAGGTTATTTGTGCTTATTGGTGACATGCCAGTGAACCTAATATACCTCTTAGAAAGAATATATATCTATATATATATATATATATAATATATATATATAGAGTATATATCAGGGTCCATCTACTGGCACACATGCATGACCCTGTCAGGCACATATTGATTCAGGGTTTCAGTGTCCTCTGCTGAAAATGCTGATACTGTATTTAAGTGCCAGTATTGGCACCAATACAGTATCATTATCAGTGCAGCACTAGAGCCCTATAACATTTGATTTTTTTTAGTGTGTTAAAAAAATATTACTGGATATGTCTGGATATCCTCACAGATTCTGGCTCCTGTCATACGTTGTGTGACTGCTGTGTGTGTAGTCAGGCATGCTAGTGTTTCAAGCATCAGTCAGTGTTCAGCTGACCAGTGGAATGGGCCAAATGAATAACCTACTGACTTTAAACGTTGCATGATAGTGATGCGAGTCGTGTTTGTTCTAGCATCTCCAAAACTGTTGTCGTTCTGGCCTTTTTGCCTTTGGCTTCGAAATTTAATCAAGTATAAAAATCAAGTGTAAAAATCAAAAAACTGGTAAGTGATTGGAGATCAGGTGGATGAACATGCTTGTGGATGAAAAGGATCAAAGGAGAATGGCCAGAGTCACCAACACAACAGCCCACAAAGAGTATAACGTCTCAGTTGCGTGGTAGGACAAAACCAGGTTCATTTTGCAACATGCTGATATAAGGATCAGAATTTGGTGCAAGTAACCTGAGTCAGTGAAGCCATCCTGTTTGGTGTGAACAGTACAGACCGGTGGTGGCAGCGTGATGAGTGGGGAATGTTTTCCTGGCACCCATTAAGATCCATGATACCCACTGAAGAACATCTGAACAGTGTGACACATCTGAACATCACTGCTAATCAGGTTTGCCCCTTCATGACTACAGTTTATGCCCACTTTTAGCATAATCAAAAGTAGAAATGGACCGATGAATGTTTTTGGGGCCGATACCGATCGTCGTTCATTACAATCTACCGATAGCCAATACCGATCGAGCCTGGGGCTGGAGGCCACATTTAAAGATGCAGCAAAACACATACACCCCTCCCTGCGGTGCTCCTTCAGAAGCTCTTCCCCACTTTTTTGTGGCCATAAAACCCTTCACAAATGTTGTACAGTCAATTGCCATGATATAACATTAGAGCAAACAACAGCGTAAGTAATGTAACGTTAACTAGGTTGTGGGTTAGCAAACGTACTACAGTTGCTACTGTGAAGTTAACCACAAACATTGGCAAATGGGACAAAATAGTACTGACCTAGTTAATTAATGTTAATTAATGTTAAGTTAATGTTATCCACATGTCAAGCAAAGCAACCTTCTTATCCATTTTAAGGCCTTTCAACTCTTTCAACTTTCATGTTCTTCCTTAAATGCTAGCATGGTCATTGACATAACCAGGGCCTACACAACCGGCGCAGCTAACAGGGCAAAACAGTCCTCCTGCTTCACAGATGGGCTGGTATTCTCACTCTCACAGCCCTGAAGATCACCTGTGTTCATTAGAGTGACCATATGATTTACCTTTAACTCCACATCTTTCTCATTGACTCGTGCACACACACACGTTTCCCAACTTCCTACCACAGAAATTGCTCATGTTTCCGTGGTTCCCACATAAACACACACAGCACTGCACCTGCGCACTCGTTTTCAGTGAGCTATGCGAGAACTGATCTCAATCAGGCTTCTGCACCTGACCCTCTCTCTTTA